CACAGCACTACACGGGTAACGTTGGGCGCCGCCACTCCCTTCTGCCTGTGCCGTGTGTGCGTGGGTGTGCTGTCTGTTGTGTCTCAATTGCGATGTGTTTCTTGCTTGAACTACTACTCCTACTGCTGTAACAGCAGCGGTCGCGCTTACCAGCCGACCAAGCCGACCAACCAATCAATGTATGTAGTAACAAGACGTCAGGCTTCAGCGGGATGAGCCGATGAAATACACCGCGAGCACAGGGAGGGTGATTGAGTTGGACGACACAGTCCTGCTGCCAGAGTTGTTAGCACTCGCTCCTCCTTCCATGATTGATGTCAAGGGCGTGTCTGTGTGTGGTGTTGCTGCCTCTCTCCTCCGCCCGCTCAGCGCAGCGCCACACATCATGGGCACATACATGCATATATATGCATGTCAACCATGCTGGATTGGTCTCGCTTTCGTAGCGTGACCCGTGCATGTCGCATATAGATAGACTGCAGCAAGCAGTGGTGCACGGGGTATTGTACACGTACGTGTGTGCATGTTTCCAAACGGAACAACTGCTGTGCTGGGGTAGTGCCCGGCCATTGACGTGTTTGCGCATACAACGAAATTTGCTATACTGATGCCATGTAATTTCTTTAAAAAATAAAGTCTTTCCACCGTGCGCAAAAAAAAAAACCGGAAGACGAAGACAGATGATCCGCATTTGGCCGTGTAATCTCGCCGCGCACATACATACATGCAGCCGTGGAGTTCGAAGGGGCCAGGAAAGATGTGCACATACATGTGCACCTAATATTTGAAAATTGAAGCGATAGTCACACCACGCCCTGTCCTCCGAGATGTCGGCGATGCACAAATCCCTCCCCCTCACTGTCCTGATGACCGTGCGATCTACCCGTACTGTCTCCACCTGCAGCGCTATGAGCGCAGCGCACAACTCGAGCTCTTCCGTTTCGTGCTCATCTTCTTCCTCGCTGTGCCAACCAACAGCAGCAGGACAGCTGCGCACAAGAGGCAAAGCTGCTCGTGCATCAGTTCTCCGGGCCTCATGGCGCCGTAGCGGCGTTTAAGGTTGACATCCCGGATCGGCCTCCTGGTTCTATCCATGACTTGTGTATAGGGGCATGGGGCGGGCACTGGCTGCGCGTCTCGTAGCCCGCTGCCGTCTCGTGCCGTCTCGTGCCACAACGGCGCAGCAAGCGGCCCAAACTGACGTGGACCAACCAGCGCGCGTGGTCGTTCGGGCGGCAAATTTTGCTTGCAAATTTCTCTAAATAGCGAAATCTCAAGACATATTTAGGCAGAAGTCGCGTCGGAGGAACTTTAGATACCCCGAACTGGTCGTTACGAGCCAAATTTTGTTCTGCGCAAACACGTCATTGTTGATTTAGAGCGGAAGAGTTGATGGTTGGTGCTGTTTGGCAGGGGCGGAAACTGATTCCTGCCGCGTTGCCATGGTTGTTGTTGGGTGGGAAGATTCGCCGTTTGGTACCCCATGGTTGGAGAGGAAAAGGAGTTGGGAAGATTCCTGCGGGGGAAATAATTGATGAATGGGTCTTATTTCCCGTCAGGTCAGGGTACACTTCCGAAAACAGGGTACAGTTGGTGAGAAAAGTAGACACAGCAGGGTATACCCTGCGCCTTTTCGGACGTACTCGGGTGAAATTGGGCGCTGACCAATCATATGAATGCATTTACTGCTGTTAATGACTGTGTACCCAGGTGTGTCGCTTTTCGACCAGGGTATACCCTGTTGTGTCGTTTTCCCTATATTTTTCCCTTCTTTCTTCGTTTCTCGGGCAACAGCATATTTTATTTTCGTTTTGTAGTTTTACACGAAAATATATGTATCGATACTTTCCGTACGGAATGAGGATTGATTGGTGGCGCGCGTGTCGGTTGGTTTGAACGAATGCTTTGCACAAGAAGTTTGCATTACCCACGAAATGAAATGGTCGAGAGGTCCCGCACATGGAATGATTGACAGCATCGATCTTAGCCGTGCAGCACACGTTTGTCATTCTCGCAGACCTACTCATCCTGTATCGGTGGCCGGGAGGCCGATTCTTTACCCTAGTTCTTATTTACACTTTGTGCGCGCGGGATTTCTTCGACAGTGGTGGAGGCCGGCCGGAGATGATACCGGTGACAATGTCCAATCTCTTGGTAGAAAAATTCTGTCTACATTAACATTACCACAATTGAACACAATGCTGGCGGATCAATGGTATCCACCTACTACTTCCGCGCGGGGATAACAGAAACACGGACAAACACCACAGGCACACGTCGCAGGTGTACAGTCCACACCACCTGATATAGCACGAAATCACACCAAATTCCTTTTCACCTCTCGTGTCCCTGGCCCTAACCGTGCGCGAACAACGGAATTAAGGGAAAAAATCCATCGGCCTGTGCGCCTTCCATATCTTGCTACAATACCTGTGTTCCGTGTTTTGTCTTTTAGTAATGCACCCGCCGACTGCCTTTGTTTAATGGGAAAAAGGTATTCTCGCCCCGGGTCGCGTCCGGATGGATAATCTGTTTCTGCGGTTTACAAGCGAACACCGCGTATAACAGTATACAGGCAACCACTATTGGAGAATATCTGTTGCACTGCGTGCGATACAATATGTATGTATGTATGGTTGTCGGAAAGCCTCCGGTTTCGAACGGTGCGCTAGCCTAGGATCGGTACTTAATAACGGCGGCTCCTCGCCGCGGTGGCGCCCTCCGGAACTACAGCGCAAGATTTCGTACGTCGGTCCGCTGTAAAGTATTATGGTGCTATTGTATATGTGCAGCGAACATGGTTATATTCATCCTGCGATACATGGACTGGTAGACCATAGATGCCCACAACTACTTTAACCACTTCACACTGGGCAGACGGAACGCTGCAGCAGCTCACTGCTGCACGTAGGCCTCCGTCCCGATCGTTCAGCGTTGCCCCGGCCCTGCCTGAAAGGCGTCACTCTACAAGTAGACGACAATTTCATCACTTCATCATCCAATCTTAGTGATTTCCATCCATCCGTCGCTCCGCCAGACTCAACGGAACAAATGATATGGTACACGCCAGACCCACGAAGTAAAGTCCTGGGGGACCACAGCAAGGGAGGTAACATATTCGTTCCCTACATACTTGTAGCGTGTTGCGGTCGTACCTGCCCAACAGGTGGCTTTCAGGAACTGTGTTTTTGTTGCCACCGTTGTTATTGCCAAGTGAGAAGAGGAGATGAGAATGATGAGGGGTGGCTGCACAAAACTTGCCGTGACATTTATTCTTCGCGCTCATACATTCTTCTGCCCTGGACGATGGCCGTGAGGATGGTTGTTTTTTTCTTGGGGTAACGGAAAACGTACCCCGGTGCGTGCCTTTCGTCCCACCGAGAGCGAAAACTCCCGTCCAGTCCCGGAGCGGTGCGGCCCTCCAGGTCTGGACTCTTCCTTCCATCTCTGTGGTGCTATTCATTGCCGGGTGTTGGTCGTGGTTTGTCAGACTATTGCGTACTTACTTGCAGTTTGAGTAATTACCATCCGAAGAAAACGCTCCGAAAAAGGTTCCGAGTCGGTCGCTACAATTGTTTTTTTTGTTTTTTTTAATCTTCACTTCAAATCAGCGATCACAGCACTAGTGCCGTTTACTCCAACCCGTGGTCACACAGAAGAGCTTCTCTCTACCCTCCCCTCCTGCGGTACTTTGCCTTCGATATTTACTGCGAGAAGAGTTCAGCACTCTCTTCCCTCTGTGTACACACGAACTAGCGCTATCCACTAGACCAGGAGCGGAAGCGAGAGAAAAACTCACTTTGTAAAAGGGCCGTTTTATACATTCCAATTTTTTGTTCAAATGTACAAATATTGGCAATTTTTTAATGTACCGGGACAGAGGTTTTGGAGTTTAATTACGCGGGCGAAGCCCGCGAAAAATTTTGAAACCCCTATTTTCTTCCGCAGAGGAGGGCTGCACCCTTTGCAACGAGTCGTCGTTGTTTAACCATCGTTTCCTCCGATTTCCGTTTCAACCGTTGGCGCACGTTGTGTCTGTACTTGTGGTGAATGGTAGGTGGGGCAATCATGTTGGCTTGGCCGTGAGATATTTCATTACTTTCTCCAATAATTCGAGTTTTCGGTTGCATATTGTGTTATTGTCTATAAAATAGTAGCTACCAGGCACACCGCGATGGAGGACAGGGACCACGCCAGGGCGGCAGAGTCGTCGCTACCAGCAAAGAAAGAACCAACAGCAGATTTTCCGCTTTTTCCGCTCAGAAAGCATTCTGTCGATACTGAAAAATGTATAGAGTCTTACCACATGATACAATCGTGCGGACGTTTGCTTGCCATGGACGCATGTTTGTTGTGGCAATAGATCTATTTCCAATCTTCATCTTGCACAGACCAACGAAGAACAGCATACCATCTTCCTTTGCAGCAGGACGACAGTAATACTCCATTTACACACAGAAATTTACAACATACATCGCACTTGTGTAGACCTTCAACGCGACGACCGTGTTGTTGGCAGTTGCTGGAATACCACTGTAGTACAAGAAAGAGCAAAAAAAGGAAGAACAAACCACAGCAAAAAAATGGCGCCATAGAAACAAACGTGTGCCCCCCGACCTTGCCGTTACACTACGTTGGGTTGCAACCAGAACATGTGCAACGATCGAAAGGGTTCTTCCTATTGTTCGGGTGGTCCGGCTGTCTACGAAGGTCGTTGGCCACCGAGCAAACCCTTTTCCCATATCTTCCCCCACCATGGTGAAACTCCTTCCAGCGCACCGCGAATGGGTTGTGACCACAGTCTCTGCACGATACCACTCGAGGAGACGGAGCTGCTACCGCTGGCGTTGGTACAGGTGGTATGGGATGCCACACCTGTGCCGCGGCAGCCTTCCCCATGCCCGTTCCAAAAGTAGGAACGACCCCGTGGAGAACGCTGCAAGCTACTGCTGGTACCACGAAGGCTCCGTCCCCCTTCCGAGGCCTAGCAGTTTCCGTCGTCACAGAACTACTCCCCCCAATACCTGTCGCGCTGCTGCTTCCCGTGTCTTCTGGGCGGGTTCCTGCAGCACCGACACCGGTGTCACCAACGTCGGTGTCTCCACCAACCCCATAATTTACACCGACGTCGATCAGCGACTCGCCATCACTCACGCTGCCTCGCTCATCGCGTTCGTCGTGTTCGGGTCCTCCGGTAGCCGAAGGGGCAGGCCGTGGTAAAGTTGAACGCCCGTTGTGCACCAGCGGGAAGGAAAACGTTTGTCCCGTTATCGTCATGCCGACAGCTGCCCGCTCCGCCGTGCTTGGCTCTGAAAGTCGGACGCGATTTTTCTCGTACATCGCTGAAAGACGGTCTTTGTTCTGCTCCACCGTACGCGCGGTGTTGACTTCCTTCCTCGACTCGGTCCACCAGCTCTGAAGGTCGAAAGGCGCCTTCCGGTTGATCTTCTTGTTGGCATCGCCACTGACTTCCAAGCGCCCGGCCACCTCGTTCCTCTCGATTTCGCCGACGTCCTCGTTCCACTTTGCCGCAAAGGCATCGAAGTTGATACTTTGGGTACCACGGCGGTGGCCAGCAACCTGCTGCCTTACCTCCGGGGAAACCAAGAACTGAAAGACCTCGCGATCGAACTTGTCCTTCTCTGCCTGAGTTATGACGGCAGTCGTCATTCGCTCTCCTGGGGTCGCACCTTGCATCCGAGCGAAGAAACTAGGTCGAACAGAACACGAACCAAAGTAGATCGGGGAGGTTCCAACAGAAGAGCAGAAAATGAGCGTGCGATGTAATCGGTACATAGGTATGAACCTTCCGCCCCTGGGGGCGAGGGTCGAGACAAGACCTTAGAGTGGAATACCTGGACACTCCATACCGTGACGTTTACTCTCAATGACATGTACGTACGATAATGTGCTCCAATGGCTTTCGACATTTCCAAAGAAAAACAAAAAATGGTAAGGTAAGAGCACAATTACAAAAAACATTCCGGACGTCAACCCTTCATTTACTAACTCTGGGTTGCTAATCAAGAATCAAGCGCTTTTTATTCCAGTGGAAGGAAATACCCCCAAAAAAATGGACTCACCGCTCATTTGGAGTGCACCCATCGACAGTCCCCCACCTCGCCTTGGGTGCATCCCTGCGTTCGTCCTCTTCGGCATCGGCTGCCCCCTCGTCTTCCGATCCATCGCCATCGTCCAAAGGAAATACCTCGGACAGTCCATCCAACTCCTTGCGCGCTTGCGCAGGGTCCCGCGACATGACGAGGCCGGCGGACTCCCCGGTGTCGCGGAAGTTTGATGAAGATTCCTAGCCAGGGTACAGAGGCTCGTCGTCGTACCACCCCTTAGTGATGGCTTGGATGTCCTCAACTTCCCAGTGGCTGTAGTAGCCGAGCAGGTCGGGGTCCATACCCCTATGCAAACCTGCACCCCGAAGCAAGAGAAACAGCAACAGCGGTCACGTTACATTGCATTCATGCAGTCATCCCCAAACCACTCCCGCCGCGGTTGCTCTACATATTTCAACGCAAAGAAGGTTTGCGCGAGTACTCCTTCGACATACCGGCCATGCGATGGTTCCGCCTGTAGTTGTGTAGCAGCATGGTGAAATGCGCCATCAGAGCAGAGGCGTGGTAGGATCCCATCAGCAGCCGCAGCAGTTGGTGGAAGTTTTCGATGCGGTTCGTGCCTTTGATTGACCGAATCAAATTTAGCCCGTCCTTCGTGCGCCCCGTGATCTCGAACAACGTTACAAGGTCTGGGTTTGGGTCATGCAAGCACCCCTTCTCGATGTGGGTGCGGAGCAGCTTCGTGGCCTTGTGCATGCGGTCCGTGAATAGCGTTTCGCCTGGTCAAGAGAACAATTTACACGCGAAAAACACAAGGAGGACAAGTCGTCATCCTACAGGTAGCAAAGCGTAAGCAGTCAGACGCTTGACTAGCACACGACTACCGCCAGTGGGTCGATGCAATATAAGCAACAACAGTAGTACCTGTGACGTCACGAACGTTCTTGAAAGTCTCGACCAGGTTGTCAAATCGCGGTAGGAGAATATCCGGAGAAGGCACTATCCGTGGCACATGTTTCAAGAGGTGACTCGCGTACTTTGCCCGCATGTCGGAAGCGATCTCCTGGTCGTTCCACGAAGGATTCCGCAGCTTCCATACGCTCCTCACGTCGTCCATGGCTTCCGGACAAGGTATTGCGAAAGTATCCCGTGCAGCAGCGCAAAAGGGGCCATATGCCCCGTTATTTTTCGACCCACAGCTGATGAACCGATTCTCCGCATGATACAGGTCAAGCTTGACCAAACACTTGCCTAGGGTCCTCGAAGTACCGGCTTTGGCGGCGCTACCGACGACACCCACCCCCACCGTACCAGATGAAGGTGCCGGCTCTCCTGCTCGCCCTCCAGACCCAGGAGTTGATGTCGAACCAGTTCTGGTGGCACCAGTAGCACCACCACACCCCGCGACGCCCGACGAGGACGCCGACCCTCCCACCTGTTCTTCAAGCCCAGGTGTCGAAGCCGAACTAGTTGCTGTGGTACCAGCATTTCCACCCCCGACGATGTCGGCGTCAGTCGGCAGTCTGGAGTTAATCTGACCAGGAAAACAAGCGAAGTGCATGAGGTTTCAGGTGACGGGAAAAGTGTCATTTGAAAGATGAATCGAAAATCATTCTCAGCCCGTGACAGACCATTTTTTGATCATGTATATAATCAATGAACAACCTGCACTAAACAACAGTCCTGAGCACCCAACTCACCGCATCCCACAGAACGAGAGCCCCAAGCTCAAGCTCGTCTAGCGCTTGCACTTGGCCGCCACCCTCGCCAGGGTGAAGCACGAATGCTCCAGGAACGTGCTTCACTGTCAACCTCACCACCATCCGTGTAGCACCCCCCGTTACATGCCCAATCGTCAGGCCAGTGCTTCCCCACGTGCCGTCCTGAGAATATTCTTCGACGGTCCCCTCCGCCACACAACGTGTGTTCGTACTCGTGTACAGGCGTAGATGGGTGTTGGCAGGGAGCGACAGCACATCCGGTCGGCATTCCGTCAGGATGGGGTCCATTCTCGCCCAAATACGGTAAAAGAGGAGAACACCCGCATAGGAGTCAAGCCCCGCATACTTCTCCTGCCACAAGACGGTTGGAACACAGCGATATGATTGAGCAATCAGAGACAACCGCATTTGAAGTGCAAGAAAAGCTGACAAAAAGAGGCAATCAGGAAAAAAAAAAATGGGAGCGCTGTATACAAATTCGACCGATCACGCTCCTCGTACCTGGTCCTTCGTTAAAGTTGTCTCCCAATTGCTGGTGCGAACTGCGTCCTTCGCCAATCGTCGATGGAGTAGTTCTGCGGTCAGCGCTTGGAGCGAGCGTGCTCCGTTTTTGACGTGGAGATGGACTCCTGCAAGCTGGCCAATATCGACCGGCTTAGTACCATGAACACCGTAGCTGTTGAAAAGGTGTGTGAGGTCACCGCGAACCGACACCCCAGCCTAGTACCGAAGACAGTATAGAGCATAGGGAATAATAAAATCAAGAACAAAACATCGGCAATTGATGGCTCGAACACAAAACAAGACAGGAACAATCTACCTGCGCCGGGGTCCCTACTCTGGCTGCGTCCACGCCGCCGGTACAAAACCTACGCATTCGTCAAGGCTACCATCAGTTCATCAGCAAACCAAGCTTACCAGCTGAATGGTGTCGTTGACCAGCAGTTCTTTGAGAGCTGTGGGCAGGATCCCTCGTCGGCGCTCTTCATACTTGAGGTGGAAAAGGACCGTGTAGCCGTCGCGTGCTGACAACTGTACGAGTGCAACTTGGCGACGAGGCCCGGATGGGCGCACACTCCACTCAATGTCGAATCCGAGCACCGCAGGAGCCGATGCCCGAGCGCGCCTCAACAGCTGAAGGCAAATTCTGCTGGAGAGCTCGCAGTTCTCGCTGGCCACGCGCACCAATATCGGTGAGGCTCCGGCAGGGAACTCGAGATTTGGAAGCTGCCGCTCAGCTTCTTCAGCAAAGTATGTTGACAACGCAAAGTCTGGCACATGTTGAGATGCTGGTCCAAGAGTTGACTGGATGATGTTCCCGTCTCCGCAGCACAAATCCGTCCAATACACCTGCGAAACGCCGGCGAGAACGCAAGATCCTTTGATTGAGTCGTGTTCACAAATTTGAACAAGCGTTCTTAGTGGCCATTTCGATACCGGTACCAATAACACTCTCCATACACCCGGCAAGAGATACCGGGGGTTCAGATCACCGACCACGGAACCCGACAGAATCGACGTACCTGGATGGGGCGGAATCCCTGAGTCAAGTACCGGTTGGCGAGCGCCTTCAGATGAGGAGCGATCTCGCCCAGAGATGCCACGCCCACTTGCCGTTTGGGGCGCTATTTGGGGCAATACAGAGATAGCAGAAGGGGTGGTAACCAGGAAGTTGTAATCATGCCACAGACTTTGTGCATGCTGCAGCATCATTAGGTACAGTGTGGATTCACAAATAATGAGTCAACTAGGTCCAGTGAAAAGCCCCATCGCAGACTCCGAATCGCAGCCCCTCACCTGCATCACCACTTGGCCGTACTCGTTGATGATGGTGTAAACTCCATGGAAACTTTTTCGTGGCTCACTCTGATGGCCTTCACAACCTTGTGCGATTCGTCACCCGCCAAGTTCGTGCCATCCACTAACTGCTGTTGCCGGTGGTACCAATGCTCCCTTCCCTCCATCACAATTTCGCACGCACTCTTCAAGATAGCAGCGCTCGGCGGGCGGCCGTTGTATCCGCCTTGGTCACTGAACGAACCAAATCGCGGGGGCTTCTGTAGCAACTCGTTCTCCTTCGGGACAACAGATGGCTGATTCTGTCTTCTCCTCCTGTCCATGCGGGCGTAGTATCTGCGTCGAATTCGTTCGGGACAAGGATTAGCATCCAATACTTGCAGTCGGGCGACTTCGAATGGTATTTAGAATGGTTGTCATGCACTCGCACCTCTCCATACATTTTTATTTGATCAAGACAGCAGTGTACTTGCGGGCGAAATGCTCGCATGCAAACTACCTCCTCACCTTAGCTGCATCTTCATGAAGTGTTTGATGTGATTCTCTTTCAAATGATCTGCGAGGGTCTTCATCCCGATGGGGCTCACAAGACTCTGCTCGATCCGAGTCACAAGCTTTGTGTCGAGGGCTGAACGTCGCAGGATCACCGCTGGAAACAACTCCACCAGGTCACGCGGAAGCTGCTTGAGGACGCCTGGGTGCCACGGAGCAAACTTGTAACCGTCGGCGACTCTACTGCCTGCTTTCCCTTTTCCTTTACCATTGGATTTGTTTTTGCAGCTCTTGCAGGCGTGTTGTTTGCCTATGATGTGGTAGTTGAAGTGCTCGCCATGGACGGTTCGGCTTTGTGGGTCCCATCCATCACAAACCACCTGCCAGGCGGGGACCCGGGAATCAACGAATATCGGCTTTGATAAACTTGAAAAGCTGTAAATGTTGCAGCTTGATATGCTATAGATGTTGCAGCAACACTGCTGTTGTAGACCTGCTACGGGTATAGGGGTTAAGTCGCAGACAGCAGCGGCCCAGTGGACCGTACATGTACGTAAACTACATAGACTATTTTCCGTAGATGCAGACAAGTTTCATCTAACACAGCAGTAAACGCATGAATATGTACAAATACTCACATCGCTACAATTGCCGCAGCGCGGGCAAGGGGGCGCCTTGATGGTCTTGTCGAGCAATTCCCAAATGCACACGAACACGGGAGTAAGGTAGTGAGTCTCGAGGTCCGGCACGGCGGAGAGCAGCGGATCGTCCGGGAAGAACCATGGGGAACCACGATCCAGAGTTCCCGTCACACCCTGCTTTTGGGAGCCATGGCCCACCCGTTTGCTGATGCTGTCGACCCTCCGCTTCACCGTCCTGATAAACTTGGCCATGGCACTGCTCGGGGGCACATCTTGGAGTTCTTCACATGAACCTGCAGCGTGTGCTACTGCTGCTGTTGGCCCTGCTGTTGGCCCTGCTGCTGGCCCTGCTGTGGGAGCTGGTGCAGCTGGAGGCGGAATTCCTCCGCTGCTAGGCTGCGACGAGGCGGATGCTGCTGCACAATCAGCGGACCCAGAGCGTCCACGCGACTCTCGCCCCGCCGACAGGCTAGCCATTCCCTCCTCAGCATGTACATCGCAAAACTTCCTGCTGTCGCTGCTGTCCTCTTGGCTGTGTCTCGGATGCCTGTCGCAGCCGCCGACTGCGCATCTTCCGGTTTGGACAGGGCGTACCACCATACCAGGGGCAACCTCGGCAACAGACACCCCACCGGCAACAGACACTCCACCTCGCATACTCCCGCCGTGGACTCCCCCCTCCGGTAATGGCGAGTTCGCCGTCGGACCATGTTGTCGTGCCCAGGGGTTGGCCATTTGCTGTGGCCCAAGATTGGGCTGTCGCGGTCCCTTAGGTCCAGTCCTCTTCGCATTTTCTTTCGTTGTCAACGACCCTGGCGGTCGACCTTTCCTCTTCGTGTTGCTTGAACTAGCTGACATATCGCGTGTGCAGATGGCATATCGTGTGTGCAGAGAGGAGCCCCGCGTGTGTGCCGTGGCCTGGCCTTGCGTGTGGTGGTGTGTAACGTCGCTGCGGTCTCTCTGCTGCTGTCTGCTCTGCTCTCAAAGAGCGGCGGGATTAACCCTACTAACTTGGATTTAGACAAGACGCCAAGTAGGCGCCAAGTTAAATGGAGACAACTGATTGGCGGACGCCAAGTTAAATCTGTCCCGGTGGCTTTTTTTGCTGCCCAAATTTTCCGAAACTCCGGAACTTGTACAGAGGCGTTTGTCCAAATAGTCTATTTTCGAAAAATCCGGAACGAACCTGGACCCGAAAATTTGTACCCAGTAGCTTCCAAATTTCCAAATTTTCAAGCATACCGGCGGCATCGGTCCTACAACCCCCAGTCAAGGGTGCCACAGGCCGTACCACAAGGGCTAAGCAACAGCAGATCTAGCTGAGATGTTGTCTGGGCTATGGCGGACGGCAGCAAACGTGGTGTGACCCCTGTTGCGGTGTTTTTTTCTCGACGGGGCAGCGCGCGCCTGCCTCTGTCCGATCGAGAGGAAATGCTCCTAACGAGGTGCACGTAGCAGCTATCTCACCGCGACAGCAGGGCTGAGCACAGGGGTGGTCATGTCGATGGTCGTTCATGGCCTTGTTCCCAAGACGCAGCAGGCTGCTGTCGTGCCGCGGCGCCTAAATGGGGACGAGCACACACTTCCGTGCTTCCTTGCGGACATCTGTAGGCGGCGACACTCTCGAGGATGGAGGTACGCATCGATGAACGAGTACGCGTTCAACTGGAGCAGCTGGCACATACCCTGAGCACAAGGACGAGTCTACCAGGCAAGTGGGAAGAGATTGAGGCAGACGGGCATGCCCTGTTCGTCTCCAGTAACCCGTTCGCGCTTTGGTTCCCCGCCCTCTGCTATTATTCTACTGCTGCTGTGACCCGCTCTTTTTCCTGTCTTGTGTGGTGAACCGATACGCATATCTGCTCTTGTTTATGCATACACCATGCGTGTATCCTTTGAGTACCCGCCCGCTGTCACGCTGGCTGGAAATGACAACCTCTTCTACTCGAGGCTCAACCTTTGTACAAGTACCTTGGTCCATCAGTTTTTCGGTGTCTTACTGCTGTAGTTCTTTTAGACTCCATGTATTTCTGTATTCGGTGTTGTTGCTCATCGAACACGGCTGGCTGTGCTGTGCTGTGGCATCGCATCATGTGCAGGAACATGCGACGGCATTGGCGCGCTGTCGAAGATTCGTTCGCCTTGCCTACTTGTGGCGGACATGGTCGAGAGCTTCATACTTCGACCTCACACCGTACTATTGGCGTTGCGGAGGAGCTGACCTTCGTGTCCCGTGGCACCAACGACGAAACCGTTCTATGCACGCCTAGCAGGCGGACCTACTGCTGCTTGCTGTGGAGGTATGTGCGGTACATCTACAATCTACACACACATGTGACACCTCTTCAGCCAACTGTTATTAGCGTTTCTGTAAATGAACGCGTGAAATTGCCCGTAACAGCAGCAAAAGGGTCAGTTGGGTCTGTATTGGCGTGGGCACAGCACCAGCAGTTTCGCAGCGTTCGTTTGCGGCGATGTACTGTAGATTCGGACCACGCCACTGGTTGTAGTTCTAGATCTCTCCTGGACTGCTTGTAGCCCGTTGAGTCGACTCCAGAGGCGGAGCTTGCGTTGGAGCTGCAACCTAGGTAGGGGTGAAAGTAATGCGTATTTCGGCAAACCCTGTGGAGCATTGTCGGAAGGAAGGGGTTTGAAGCAGACAACCAACTTGACTGAGGTGCCCCGTCCGGAACCCAATTTGTTTCGCGGTGTTTCGGTACTGGTTTGTGCTGTTTAATTTGACTCGTGGGTTATCTTTCGACCTGAGTCACAAACCCAAAGAAGATGAGAATTCAATCATGTCTGCAAGGGCTTCAACCCTTCCCTTCCAACGCCTGCACACCACCCTGGACCCACCTACAACAACAGATACCGGCTATTCCCGCGTGTGCCTCCCGAGACCGCCTTTCGAAAAAAAGGCCGAAAACGCCGTAGCGTTTCCATTCGGGATTTGGTTTAAGTACCTGGTACTACTTTGAGTAACGTATGGTGCAGGACATGAAGTGGGACGGGGGGTGCTTCCCGAGACGCTACGCTAACTGAAGAGAAACAGTAACAACGAGGTGTCGCCGTCATCCCCCCAACCCTCTTCACCCATCCCTTCCCCCAGCCGTGGGCCTCCTGCGAGCATTTCTTTTGTTATTGCGACATTAATTTGTTCGGAACAAATGTTGACAATGCTCCTTTCGTGCGGTGGGTCCTGGGTTGTGAGTTGGATACATGGCATCAGCTAACCGGAACCCAACTGTTGTGTTGTAATCTTGCCCCTGCGAATTTTGTCGTCATCTAATGCTTAAGGCGAGCATCCAACGATGCGTTGCCGACTAAACATCAAGAACACTGGCATGGATAAGCGAGCGGGGTCCGGCGAAGTCGACACGCGCATGACGATGACGATACTGCTGGACGAACAGCGTGGATACCGTCCGGACACAACCTGGTCCGGGCTAGGAAATGATTTGGTCGGGCGGGCGGGCAATGTTGCGTGGACGTGCTGCCTCGAGGAGACTGTAGATTTGGGATCGTGGGCAGGGGGTAGAGGAGCCCTCGCTTGGGCTGGGTCGGTGACGGCGGAGGGCGACAGGTGCTTGTGTATTTGCTGTGCGGGGGGGGGTGTTGTTGTCTAGGTTGGGACCAAGGGAGTCATCAGCGAGAGGGAGGCCGTGGACGAACGAGGGATTGTTGGGTCGGGTTGCGCCATTTCGACAAGCACACACTGGCCGCTACACGGACAAGGGCAGCGAGAACGTTTCGGTAGGCGGTCTTCCATTTGGAGTTGATTTTTGTTTGCTGTCTTCTTCATGGAGAGGTGCTGTGTAAGGTTTTCTTATGTCTAACACCAGCCCCTATCAAAAACGCTGAAGGAGTACGTGG